TTACAGATCAAGATGAATTCATAGAGATTCACCTGCCTCTCTGCCTCCTGAGTGTTTTTTTTTCCCCCTTTCTTCCTCCACTCCCCACCCCCAATCTTCGGAGACAAGTCCAGTCTGGCCCCAAATTAACTATGTAACCACAGATGACTGGTCCTCCTGCCTCCACTTCCAAAATGCTGGGATTACAGGTGTGCATCACCATGTCCAGCTTATCCCACGCTGAGGACCAAACCCAGGGCTGTGCGTATACCACACAAGCACTCTGCCAACTAAGCTACATTCTGCAGACTCAAAAGGCCAGGATGAGGATGCAGCTTAGTGAGTAGAGTGCTCACCTGGAGAGCATGAAGCCGGGGGACCTGATTTGTCTACTGACCTCCTGAGGGCACCAGGCACACACACGGTGCACATTCCATACATGGGCACTCACTCATACAAATAAAATAATAATTAAAAAAAAAAAACACAAGCCAAATGGTGGTGGTGCATGCCTTTAATTCCAGTACTCAGGAGACAGAGGCAGGCAGATCTCTGAGTTTGAGGCCAGCACAATCTACAGAGATAGTCCCAAGCCATCTGGGGCTACACAGAGAAACCCGGGTTCAAAAAAAAAAAAAAAGTTATAAAAGACAGAAAAGCTCATTTCATTAAAATGAGTTTTAGCAAGATGTGGGACTGCACACGTAGTCCCAGCACTTGGGAGGCAGAGAAGAGTACACTGGCTAAAGTTCAGGCCAGTCAAAGCTATGTAACCAGACCCTGTCTCAAAACTAAGGCTGGCAAGATGACTCAGCAGTTGCCACCAAGCCTGATGACCAGAGTTCAAACCCCAGGTTCACAAGGTGGAATAAACCAACTCCCATAACTCATCCTCTCACCTCCAAACATGTGCCTGGTCATATAATTTTCAAAAAATCAACAACATTAAAAAAAAAAAAATCATGGGCTACTCTCACCAGAAGGCATAAACAGATTAAAAAATGACAGTCATAAAATATAGGAAGATATTCATAAGTCATACATTAAAAAATTAATTAAGAGGTGGAGCGGTGGTGGCACAAACCTTTAATCCCAGCACTTGGGAGCAGAGCAGATCTCTGAGTTCAAGGCCAACCTGGTCTACAGAGTTTCAGGACAGGCTCCAAAACTACAAAGAAACCCTGTCATGAAAAACCAAACAAAAAAAAAAAAAAAGCTGAATGTGTGGTGTTTTACACCTGTGATTCCCAACCTGAGAAACGAAGGCAGAAGGATTAGGAATTCTAGGTCAGTCAGGGCTACATCAAGACCTTCTACCAAAAGATAACCAGAATAAAGAAAGAAATCTAACTCAACCAGGAAGAGAAACAACCCAAAATAATGACAAAAAATTAAATATACAAACTTCCCAGAAGTACAAATTGCCAACAAATACATGAAAACAAGTCCAACTTTAGAAAATACCAATTTAAAAATCACACAACAGATACCATTTTAAACCCCCTCCCCAAATCATTAAACAGTTTAAGTTTCCCAATCTCAAGTGCCAAAGAGGAAAATGAAGCAACAAAACACATCCTGGCAGCCTCTTGACTCAGTCATCACAAGATTCTACCAGGAGCCAGTGCAGTGACTCAGATGCTGCAAGTGTTTAGTAAGCATCAGTAACTGCTATTGAGCAAAGCATGGTGGCACAAGCTGCCGTCCCAGAAGCTGAGGCAGAAGAACAGCTGGAAGTCTGAGGACAGCCTGGTCTACATAGGGCGTTCCAGGCCAGCCAGGGTTACACAGAAACTGATTAAGAACCAATATAGATATCAGAATGTGTGTACCTGGTGGTGGTGGTGGTACACGCCTTTAATCCCAGTCTGCGAGACAGAGAGGTGAATCTCTGTGAGTTCAAGGCCAGTCTGGACAGCCAGGGCTACAGAGAAACCTTGTCTCAAAAAAAAAAAAAAAGAAAAAGAAAAAAAGAAAAAACCAACTTAATATAACAGAAAAAAATATAGCAGTGCCTATACTCAGAAATATTGATATATTTACAATGCTGAAAATATTCAAAAGAACTTGTATCATCAGTTAAACTTCAGGAACCCTAAGCTTTTTGGGGCAGTAGGAGAGGTAAAGTCTCACTATGTAGTTCAAGTGGGTCCTGTACGACTCAGAAGTGCTGAGATGACAGGAACATGACACCACTCCTGATAGATTTTAAATACAATAGTCAAAAGGTAAAAGAGGAACCCACACCTGACAACCTAAGTTTGATTCCTGGAACCCACAAAAGGGGAAGGAAAGAACCAATTCCTGCAGGTTGTTCTGACTGTCCTGGAACTCACAACTCACTCTGTAAACCAGGCTGGACCTCAAACTCAGAGATCCACCTGCCTTGGCCTCCCTGAGTGCTAAATTAAAGGTGTGCGCAACCACCACCAGGACATGGTCATTTAAATTTTAAAAACTAAAAATAGGCAGGGTGGTGGTATACACCTTTAATTCCAGCACTTGGGGTGACAGAGGCAGGCAGATCTCTGTGAGTTCAAGGCCAGCCTGGTTTATAAGAGCTAGTTCCAGGACAGCTAGGACTGTTACACAGAAAAACCATGTCTCAAAAAACAAACAAACAAAAAAAAAAAAAGGAAAAAGGCTAAAGACACAGATGACATTTGTCAAAGAAATGTGCACTGACAATCACTGACAATGTCTATCTACTGTATCTTACTAGGATACTGTTTTCCCAAATCAAAAGGAAAAATAAAGCCAGCCAAATGTGGTACTAACAAATGTCTTTCATCCTCAAACTCTCTCAGCAGAAGGAGGAGGATCTGAGTCTTTAAGCCAGAATGGTTTGCAGGGTTCTAGGTCAGCCAGAGTTACATACTAAAATGCATATTAAGAGAGTATCAAAAGAGGGATGTTGGAGAGAGAGTGCAGAGGTCAAGAGAGAACACTACCTCCTCTTCCAAAGACCCAAATTCAAGTTCCAGCACCCACACAGAACCTTAGAACTGTGAAATTCCAGTTCCAGAACACTCTTCTGTGCAGACATACATACAGGAAAGACTCCCATACACATACACACATAAATAAACTAAAAAAAAAAAAAGATTAAAAAAGGAAACAAAAACAGACACATGTCACAATTAAGTAAAAAGTTTTGAATACTAAAAAGAAAAGTTTAAAAGAATTTAGCGGGGCAGTGGTACTGCACTCAGGAGAGGCAGGCTCATCTCTGTAAGTTCAAGGCCAGCCTGGCTTACAAAGTGAGTTTCAGAACAGGCAAGACAACACAGAGAAACCCTATCTCAGAAAAAAAAAAGTAAAAATTCAGGGAGTTTTTATATTTACATACTTCAATCTTTGTAAATTAATACTTTTTTCTCCATGAGGCCGTTGGTTATTTACCTGCTATGCAGCGACAGGGACATTTACTAGAGAACTACTAACTGCCTGGTTCCATAACTATGACTCACTGATGAAACACACAGTAAGTTTTCAGTAACAGAATGAATAGAATGAATCAGAAACAAAAACTCAATCTATAAAACTTCACTTACAATACCTAAGGCAATCTTTTTCTTATTGACTTTAGACATTTTGTGGCTTAAGATAATGCGGAAACTTTCAGTTTAACTAGGCTGGGATACTAACTAGGAAGAAAAATGTTTATAAACCCAGAGATCATGCCTTTGATCCCAGCACTCGGGAGGCAGAAGCAGGTGGATCCTCTGTGTGTTCGAGAGCAGTCTGGTCTACAGAAAGAGTTCCAGGACACCAGGGCTATACACAGAAACCCTGCTTGGGGGGGAGGGGGGTAATGTTTTAGGCTGGGTGTGATGGCAGGTGGAAAAATAAAAAATTTGTAGATTTACTTATTTTATTTGTATGAGTGTTTTGCCTTCATGCTGTATGTACGCACCATACTCCTGCCTAGTGGCCATGGAGGTCAGAAAAAGGTTTCATAGCTATCCCCTGGAACTGGAGTTATGGATGAATGTGAGCCACCATGTAGGGTCAAGAGCTGAAATCAGGTCCTCTGCATGAATAAGTGCTCTGGATTGTTCAGACCCTAAAAAGAACTATCAATGAAAATGAAATACCTTGCTTTATCATCAAATCTGAAAAAATTCAACAGAGAAGCATCCACCATATTTATTAAAATTCCCAAACACTAACAACTACAACTGAAGACACAGATAAAGCGCTAAGAAAGAGAATTAGAACATTATATATAATACACGACAAATTTTGGGTTACAACACGCTATGATGTCTAAAAAGTATCAAAATCTTACTCCAGTTCAACACAAAAAATTTTAAGTCTCAAGTCAGAAAACAATTACATGAGGTCAAGGACCGCTGGTAAAAAAGCAAATGCTTGGCTTCAAAAGACAGACTTGGGGTTGTTTATGAGACCCAGGTGGGTAACCCAGGTATTTCCACCCAGGAAAAAAAAAAAAGAGGAAACTCTAGGGAAGATATAGCTAGAGAAGACCAGACAATGCCAAAGATTCCACCCAAAAGCATTCACCCTGGTCTGATCTCTTTTTCTCCCTCATCTCATCGCCCAATTAACTAAATGCTCACATTCCACGCTCGCCCTCAACTCCCCAGCACTCTTTCTTTCCTAAACCTGGGTTCTGCTCCTCGACCTGCTCTAGCTCCCACTGAGCTCCCACTGAGCTCCCACTGGAGCGGCAGAGAGGTCTACTGCGTCCGTCTCCTAGGAGAGAATTAGTCCCCTTAATCCCAACTCATTTGCCCGCACCCCGTCTGCCGTCTGCCGTCTGCCCTCCGCCCCTTCAACTCCGGTCCCGTCACTCTGACCCTTCGCCCAGAATCCGCCCTAGACGTCGGTCGCCGTCCGGCTCTTTCTCCTTCCCTCCCCGGTACTCCAGCTCCTTTCATCCTGCGGGGCCCCCAGGCACCGGGTCCCCAGCTTCCCCCCCCTCCACGGTCGCCGGGTACCGGCCCCTTCCCCCAACTCCGCCCCTCTCCCCCTTCCCCAGAGACAGGCCCCCTCACCTGAATGCCGCTGGCGTCCAGAAAGCTGAAAGGTGCTGGCTCCGCCCGGCCTCCCGGGCTCAGTCCCCGCCTGGCTCCCGCTGCCCCTAGGGAGAGCGAACAACCCCCATTCCAACTCTATCCGCCCCAGGCCAGACCGTCACCGTGGCCACCGTCAGTACTACGGCCGCCATGTTGAAGGCCTACTTCCCTCCTCCTTCCAGCCGTTGCTCCGCCCCTTTGGGCGTCTGACATCATGGCGTTGAGCCCCACCCGCCCGGACCAATGGGAGGAGCCGACAGTGACGTAACTAAATTGAAGGATTCCTGCAACCCTGAGCTTTGATTGTGAAATGACAACCCTGCTGACCCAGGGAAGAAAGGAGGGGTCACTGAGAGGTTAAGACTCGGGGTTAGAGACAGGGCCAAAGCGAGAACCCTAGAGACTTGAATCGCAAGGGCACACCCAAAGGCTTAGCCGTGAATCCTTGGAAATTAGAAAATCTCTAAGATTCCGGGACCTGTTTCACCCTTGTCAGGTCTCACTTTCTGCATTTATTCCTGGGCTTTGTTGTTTTTCAGACAGGGCCTTAGGTATCCCAGACCCACGTTTATATACAAATTGTCTAAACAGTAACTCTAAATGTCTCTTCAGTTCTAACATCCAGTACATTCAAACCAGAAATGCCGTCCCCAAACCTTCACTGCTTTTTTTTTTTTTTCCTTTGGTTTTTCGAGACAGGGTTTCACTGTGGCTTTGGAGCCTGTCCTGGAACTAGCTCTGTAGACCAGGCTGGTCTCGAACTCACAGAGATCCGCCTGCCTCTGCCTCCCGAGTGCTGGGATTAAAGGCCTGCGCCACCATCGCCCGGCCCTTCACTGCTTTCTGTGTAACTAGACATCTGCGGGAAATAGCTTCAGGAAGAAGTCACAATTGTTATTAAGTGATTTTTTTTTCTAAAATTTTATGATCACTGGAGAAATTAGAGCATAAAGAGTTAACTCTTGCCGGGCAGCGATGACGCACGCCTTTAATCCCAGCACTGGTCTTGAACTCACAGAGATCTGCCTGCCTCTGCCTGCTGTGTGTTGGAACAAAAGATATGCACCACCTGCCAAAGCTATCCAAAAAAAAAAAAATCCAAGAGAAGGAAGGGAGGGAAGGAGAGAGTGAGAAAAGGAAAGAAGAGAGAACATAGTGGTTTGAAAGAAAATGGTCCCCATGGGCCCATAGGGAGTAGCACTATTAGGAGTTATGATCTTGGAGTAGGTGTAGCCTTGTTAGAGAAAGTGTGTCACTAGGGCCAGGCTTTGAGGTCACAGAAGCTCAAGCCAGGACCAGTGTGTTTCTGTCTCTTCCTGCTTCCTGAGGATTCAGATGTAGAACTTTCAGCTCCTCCAGCACCATGTCTTCCTGCATGCCTGCATGCTTCCTGCTATGATGATAATGAATGAAACCTCTGAACTGTCAGCCACCACCCTCACACGGACATACAGATGGTATTTACAGCTTTGCTCCTATCAGATGTTTCCTTCTGGTTTCCAAGATGGTGTTATTAGATCTAAAAGCTTCCTTGCCCCAAGACAGTGAAATACACAACTTGCCCCAAATAGTACAAATACATGGGCAACTGAATGCTATGCCAGGACAGCAAAGTATGAGCCCAGTGTTTGGAGTTGGCAGTGGAGTCTTACCGTTCCTCCCTCTCCCTCTGTCTTAGAGTTCTATTGCTGTGGAGAGACACCAGGACCACACTCAGTCATATTTCATCTTTTTTTAAATTTATCTATTATTTTGATTTCATTTTACGTTCCAACCACAGTTCTACCTGACCCTCCTCACTTCCCCCCCAGCCCATCGGGAAAGGGCTCCCATAAAAAGTCAACAAAGTCATGGCACATTAGGTTGGGGGTAGGACCAAGCCCCTCCCCACTCCATTAAGGCTAAGCATGGCATCCCAACCTAGGGAATGGGCTCCCACAAGCTAGATCATGCACCAGGGATAGATCCTGATCCTACTGCCAGGGGCCCCTCAGATAGAACAACCTACACAACTGTCTCCCACATGCAGAGGGCACAGTTCTGTCCCATAGAGGCTACACAGCTGTCAGTCTAGACTTCCTGAGTTTCAGCTGTCTCTGTAATTTCTCCATCATGATCTTGACCTCCCTTGCTCATATGTTCCCTCCTTCCTCTCTTTAACTGGGTTCTCAGAGCCCGACCTGGTGCTATGTTGTGAATCTCTGCATCTGATTCCATCAGTTACTGGGTGAAGAAGGTTCTACGATGGTAGTTGGGGTATTCACCATTCTGATTACAAGAGAAGGCCAGTTCGGGCACCCTCTCCACTATTGCTAGGAGTCTTAGCTAGGGTCATCCTTGCAGATTCCTGGGAACCCTAGTATCAGGTTTCTCCCTCCATAAAGACTCCCTCTATCAAGATATCTCTTTCTTTGCTCTCCCACTCCATCCCTCCTCCCCTTGACCATCCTGCTCCAGGGAATTCAACACCCTCACACAAACATACATGCAGGCAGAAAACCAATACACATAAAATTATTATTAAAATATTAAAATTTTAGCCGGATGGTGGTGGCACACACCGAAGATCTTTTCCCATTCTGTAGGCTGTCATTTTGTCTTGTTGACCGTGTCCTTTACTTTACAAAAGCTTTTCAGTTTCAGGAGGTCCCATCTATTAATTGTTTCTCTCAGTGTCTGTGCTGCTGGGGTTGTATTTAGGAAGTGGTTCCCTGTGCCAATGCATTCAAAAGTACTTCCCACTTTCTCTTCTATAAAGTTCAGTGTGGCTGGCTTTATGTTGAGATCTTTGATCCATTTGGACTTGAGTTTTGTTCATGGTGATAGATATGGGTCTATTTTCATTTTTCTACATGTTGATATCCAGTTAAGCCGGCACCACTTGTTAAATATGCTTTCTTTTTCCATTTAATATTTTTTGCTTCCTTATCAAATATAAGGTGTTCGAAGATGTGTGGATTGATATCCAGGTCTTCTATCCAGTTCCATTTGTCCTCCTGTCTGTTTTTATGCCAATACCAGGCTGTTTTCAGTACTGTAGCTCTGTAGTAGAGTTTGAAGTTAGGAATTGTGATGCCTTCAGAAGTTCTTTTATTGCCCAGGATTGTTTTGGCTATCCTGAGTTTTTGCTTTTCCATATGAAATTGAGTGCCGTTCTTTCGAGGTCTTTGAAGAATTTTGCTGGGATTTTGCTGGGCATTGCGTTGAATCGGTAGATTGTTTTAAGTAAGATTGCTATTTTTACTATATTAATTCTGCCTACCCAAGAGCATGAGAGGTTATCCCACTTTCTGGTGTCATCTTCAATTTCTTTCTACAAAGATTTAAAGTTTTTTTAAAATATTTATTTAAAAATTTATTTATGAGAAACCCTGACTCGAAAAACCAAAAAAAAAAATAAAAATAAAAAAATAAAAATTTATTTATTATATTTAAATATTTATTTAAAATACATACATTTATTATGTATATAGTGTTCTGTCTACATGTATGCCTATGGTCAGGAGAGGGTGCTAAATCTTATTACAGATAGTTTTTTTAAATATTTATTTATTTATTATGTATGCAATATTCTGTCTACATGTATGCCTGAAGGCCAGAAGAGGGCACCAGACCTCATTACAGATGGCTGTGAGCCACCATGTGGTTGCTGGGAATTGAACTCAGTACCTTTGGAAGAGCAGGCAATGCTCTTAACCTCTGAGCCATATCTCCAGCCCCAGATTTAAAGTTCTTGTCATACAAGTCTTCCACTTGTTTGGTTAGAATTACTCCGAGATATTTTATGCCATTTGTGGCTATTATAATGGGTGTTGATTTTCTGATTTCTTCCTCAGCCCTTTTATCATCTGTGCACAGGAGGGCTACTGATTTTTTTGAGTTAATCTTGTATCTTGCTACATTGCTGAAAGTGTTTAAGAGTTGTAGAAAGGGCTGGAGAGATGGCTCAGAGGTTAAGAGCATTGCCTGCTCTTCCAAAGGTCCTGAGTTCAATTCCCAGCAACCACATGGTGGCTCACAACCATCTGTTGAAAGACCCCAGTGGTGGGCAGTCTTTCAGGCTGAGGAGACCCTCCCAAGGAGCAGCGAGTCACTCTTCGGATGCAAATAGCAAGAGGCTTTATTAAGTACTTAAGTACACAGGTACCTGGGGCGACTTAGTCTTTCGGAAGACAAGCGCGCCTGCAGACTGGGGGAAGGTCTTTTTATAGGAAAGAGGGCAGCAGAAGCAGATTACAGAAGCAAATGCATTGTTAGTGGTCAGTTGGAATGGGGCAAGGGGCACAGGGGGTTTTTCCTTTTCCCAGCACAGATGTATGGGAACAGACATCCTGTTAATTGATGTCCTGTCCGAATCTATGGATATAAATATCCTGTTTTGCAGCCAGGGACCCTGACCTTACTCTGCACTTACAGTCGTTCGTCAAAAGCTTTGTGAAATGACGTTACAGCAGCCAAGCTGGGATCTTTCATAGGGGGAGTTGTCTCTTCTGTGAATTACTGATATTCTAAGTTGGGCACATGTGCTGACTATAGGCATCCTGTTTCCCTAAGCAAACGGGATGTTCTCATGAGAGCCGGCTAGCTGCAGGTCCTGAGAGGGTCCTGAGGGTCTTAAGCGAACAGGATGTTCTCATGGGAGCAGGCCAGCTGCGGGTTCTGGGAGGGGGGGGTGTCCAGAGGGTCTTTCACTGTAATGGGGTCTGGTGCCCTCTGCTGGCCTGCAGGCATACACATAGACAGAATATTGTATACATAATAAATAAAAAAATAAAAAAATAAAAAAAAGAAAAAAAAAGAGTTGTAGAAATTCCTTGGTAGAATTTTTGGGATCACTAATGTAAATTTTCATATCATCATCAAACAGTGAGAGTTTGGCTTCTTCTTTTCCAATTTGTATCCCCTTGATCTCCCTTTGGTGTCTTATTGCTCTAGCTAGGACCTCAAGAACTGTTGTGTGGTCATTTTCATTGAATTTTAGGAAGTCTTTAATTTCTCCCTTTATTTCTTCCTTGACCCATTGATGATTCAGGTGAGCATTGTTTAATTTTCATGAGTTTGTGGGCTTTCTGGAATTAGTGTTGCTGTTGAATTCTAGTTTCAAGCCATGTCATAGGGTTCCTATTGTTATGATAAAACACCATAACCAAAAACAACTTGGAACAGAGAGGGTTTATTTCACTTTACAG